TATGAATAGTATATTAAGTTCCTTTAATGCAATCATGAAGCTAGGGTGGTATTACATACACCTCCACTTGAGAACAGAATTCCCTCATTGCGCTTGGACCCCTAGGAACCCTAGTATTAAGCCTAATGGCCTCTAGTAGCTTTAGTCTTACATCTTGATATTTCCGTATAGTCTTAATAATTTTCCCCTACTAGGTGATTGATATAGGATTTTATCCATGAACGGCACGCGGTCGTAGGGTTGCTATAATATTGTTCTCTATGGGCCCTAGCCCACTAGGATTTGCTTTGGTGCAGTACAAGAAGTTCTACCCAAAAGCCCTCTAGTAGGTTGAGGTATCAACCTAGGATTTGCTTTGGTGCAGGACAAGAAGTTCTACCCAAAATCCCTTTACTAGGTTGAGGTATCAACCCCCATATAATGAAGGCTTCGTTCTCCTCAACTTCTGATAAAAGTGCATATGGCACTCCTACAATATTGATATTTACTCCCTCTATTTTGGAGTACACAACACATTCGTTTTACATCCATTATATAATAATTCAACACTTTCTAATTTGTAATTACACACTTTTATTTTATTACTTCTCTCTCCCACTAATCCCACTTATATAAATATTTTAGAAAAAATTGGTCGCAAGAACACCAATTATGACAAAGGTGCGTGTAATAACACAACCTTTCGAGGGTGCTCTCAATATCACAAACTATGCACTTAGGTGCACTTAACAACATGAATAACATTGGCAAAATTTAGATTTGTTGTGAAAGTAAAATCTTAAATATATTTGATGCCTTTTTGTTTAAATATATTTTTGATTAATTCCATTCTATTTTATTTTCCATCTCATGTAATTAAGTAACCATAAAATTGAATTATTTCAAAAAGTTTTCGCCATTATTTTCTATCGTTTGTTTCTTCAATTATTTTTTTTTTTACATAATTTCATGTGATGATTGATTTAGTTTTCTTTTCCATTATAATTGTAAATGCCGTATGACTTTTAATTAATAAAATAATTTTGCTATAATAATAATAATAATAATAATAATAATATGCCCTTAAAATGAAAATGAATTTAGTTGTGGATATGAGTGAGAATAATAAAATAAATCCAAATAACTCTTGTTCTTACGTGGCCTATACCAACCAATCAGATACTCCCTAACACGTAAATAAAAATACATTAAATTTACCAAACTTAACTTCGCACTTTTAGACTTCTTCAGTCTCCTCCCACGCAAACACTCACACTCACACACAAAACAGAAGAAACAAATCGAGCCAAAAAAAAAAATCATGGCAAAACCAAGCTTAATAGCACTAAATTTAGCAGTGCTAATAATTTTAATATCATTTGCACGAATTTCAGACTGTTTGAAAAAACCAGAATCATCTGCTAGAAAAGAAGACATTCCATTTATCAAATGTCAAGTTTGTCAAAAACTTGCTTCAGAACTTTATTCTCAAGTTCAGAAGAAGAAAGATGCTCAGATCTCACCTAAAAAGGTTGTAACTTTGTGGTTTTTAATTTCTGGATATTATTTATTTTTACTAATTTTGTGAAATTTTTATTGGATTTTTGAAAATAAATTAGTATTATTAATGTTTGTGTTATTGGGGTTTTATTGGATTGCAGATTACTGAGTTTGAGGTTATTGAGATTGTTGAGAATGTATGTAATTTGAAGAAGGAAGAATCTGATTGGATTTTGAAAATCGACATTGTTGAAAAGGGTGATCAATTGGAGGTTAATTTCTAAAAAATTTCAATTATTTATTTTTTGCTTGAATTTGTTTCTTATGATTATTATTAAGTTTAATTTCATTAATTCTTACTGTTATTCTTGAAATTGCGTACTAATCGAATTAAAAATTTAATCTTGTGATATTTGAGGAAAGATTGTGTTATTTTACTTGATGTTTGACAGATTGAGTATTTTCTGTCTTGGGGAATTCTTGGATTATTATTGACTTAAAAATATAATCTTATGATATTTACTGAATGACATTTGTCTTGGGGAGTTCTTGGATTCGGTTAGCAATCTTGGCAATTGTTGATATGTGATTGTTTATTCAAGCAATGTGAAGAGTTAAGTGACTTATGAATGAAGTTTGTCCTGCTTTTACTTGGAGATGTAGTTTTTGAAATCATGAAGTCGTAAATCTTTGCATTGGCGTATCTTCTGAATTCTGAATTTCTCATTTTAGAGATGCTTCTATGTTTCTGATAGCGAGCTCATGACTCACAATGTTCCTAGAGTATATATACTTTACTCTTCATTTTACCTCAAAAGCCTATGTTGAATTATCAACATTCGACATGGATATGGATATGGAAAACTCCATGATGGACCAAAGATGTAAAATTTGTTTGAATAGGCGAGTCTAACATTTGGATACGTAACAAAATCTAACACTGTCACGACAATACCTAAGTCTGAGTAATAAGCTACAGAAATAAGGAAATACTTCAATTTGCATTGATAAAACCTTATTTTTCAATTGCATTGTTAATGTTGCAAGGATAGCTCTAATAAAAAAATTAAATTGTTCCTATTAGAAAAAAGTTTAATGAAGTATTGTTTAGGTCTGTGTGAAAATGACTTTGGGTTGCTGTTTAACCAGTTCCATATATTTTATCTGACAATATACTTCTGCATGCAGTTTTTTTTTTTTTTTTTTTTTTTCCATTTATCCTCTGATATTGTACTGATGGAGTTACCTAATCAGACTATTGTTTCTTAAAACTTCATTGTCATTTGTCAACATCTTCTTTATTGTTAATATATTTTTACACTGTTCTTGTTGGTTTCAGCTGGTTGATCAAGATGTTGAAGGACATTGCAACTCAAAATGTAAGACAATTGAACGGGCATGTCAAGAGGTTAGTCTGTGTCTCAAATCATATTTACTTCCTAGGTTTTTGAGTTTGCCCTTGTAAGCTCTCGATGTTCTGCTTCTATTTCCATTGAAAGATTATTATACTATAGGCAATTATAAAGTTATAATTAGCAGTTAAAAGATAATGAGGAAAATTGCTTATGTCATACTCTGGTGTTGGTATCAATTCAGGTTAAAGTTCATGATTTTGCAATGTCAGTAAATATTTAATTTTACAGGCTACTGAAATGTTCTATAATTTCTTGTTTAATGCAGATTGTCGGGTTTTCTGACACTGATATCGCCGAATATATATATGCTCGGAAACCTCAGCTTGATTCTTTAGTAAATTATCTGTGCAAGGACCTCACTAAAGCATGCAGTAAAAGGCCACCTCCTGTGCCAAAGGTAATATATACACAGGTTAACTATGTCTATGTTCTTTAGTTTGATTTTGATTGATTCTTTCAATTTTGTTAATAAAGATCTTGATTTGAAGGTGTATATTCATTTCCAAAATGTGAGAATTTTTATACTTTGTAGCTCACTATCAGTCCGTAATTTAATGCCTTCATCACCAATGATAAATTCTCTATCATAAGATAGCGTCAAGTACCAGAGAGAGCAACTAAAGTCAAGACTGCATATATACTTGACGTTTATATAGTTAATTTAATCACCATAGCAAAGATCTTCCAAGTCAAAGCTTCTCTGTGTGTGACGTTGAATCTTTATTAACTTTTGTACAGGATAGGGTTCCAGGGGAACCATTTATTCCAAAACCAGAAAAAGAAGCTGAAATGGAAAGAATGATGAGATCGATGCAGGTAAGCCATTCTTTTCTATTTACTCCTTCCATTTTTATTCTAACTCTCGCAAGACCAATAATTTTCTGCATTGTACTATTATAGGGTCTACCAGGAGCACCTGGGATGAAAATGTACTCCAGGGAAGAATTGATGAACATGCAAAACTTAGGCAATGAGAATGTTGATGAGGATGATGATGAAGATGACGACGAAGAAGCACAATTCCGATCCAATTTGGTATGATTATGGTCAATTTATCAGGTTTTTGAAAGTTTAGATTTTTTTCTATTACTATTTCTGTTGTACTGATGTTCAAGTCTGCTGAACCCAGGGAAAAGCTTTCAAGGAGAAGACGAAGAAAAAAGATGACTGGAAGGAAAAAGTCATGAAGCACGTAACTGATACTGGGAAGACACTTAAAACACACGCAAACCGAGTCTCTCATCGGTTAAGAAAATGGTGGAGATCAAAAACAAGTGTGGCATCTAAGAAGAAATCAACAGGCAATAAGGCAGAACTTTAGGACAATTAGCAGTCAGTCGACAGAAACAAGTTATAAGAATTTCACTTTAATATGGATTTTGTATAATGCTTTTCTTTTTTTTTTTTTTTTTCCTTTTTCTTTGTATTATCAGAGGCACAAAAAGGATATTAATTATATTAATTGAGAAAATTAGAATTTTTTTTTGGAGATTCCAAGTGTCATAAAATTATTGAACAAAATGTGATGAGAAATGACTTCCAATAGAATAAATCAGAAATTTATGTTACTCAAACTCTAGCTAAAATTGAATCTCTTTTCTTGAACAATTTATAGGAAATGGTCATGACAATATGAATGACATGCTTGGTTGATAATCTTGATACTAATGGAATTTCCAAATTCCATACATCTATTAATTTCAATTACCATGTTCTATTGAAAATTAGTTAACCACTGGCTCTGAGATCGTGATAAAAGCTAAGAATGTTGATCAACTTAACTTGCTATGCGGAAGTGTTTACAATATACTTCGTATATACTAGTGAGAGTGCTAAACATGATAGAACTCCTATACACCTAAAAGATAATTTTACCAAAAATATATCCACAATATCTACAAAAGCCCTAACTAACATGGCATTTCGGATGAATTTTCATAGCTACTATCTTATCTATGTCCCTATCATGTACTTCGTTACTAGCATGATATACTTCGAATATATAAAGTATGATTCAATATATTGAGAGAAACGTTTTTCTTGTAAGAAAAAGGGTTATTTTTTCCCTAGAAATTTCAATAATAATTTTGATTTGATAGGATATGGTATTTTAGAAACTAATTAATTATAACAAATTTCTAATAAGCAAAAGGGAAAGTGGTCCATACATGAGTAGACAAAATTTGTAAATCTGGTAGCTATGTTGCACTCCAATGTAGAATCATCCCTAAAGGACTATTGCATAATGCTACAATCTACTGATAAATTCAACACAACATAAACACAGATTTAAGTACACTTCCAGTATAATTTGCTCAATAAGTTAAGTATACATCATTCAATGGTAGAATATTGAATGTCAAACAGTGATAAATCGACGTCTTGTGCCCCTATCTTGCACTAAATATAGGTTCTACATCAGGTCTTGGTTGTGATCTTCTTGTGTATTTGAGCAGCAAACCCTCTGAAGAAAGACCTGGCACCTTCAAATCCCTACAAAGTTTCAAAAAACAATTAAAGAAAGAGCAGAAATAGCAGAAACGCAGAAGCATTAAACCACCAACTGCAGCAAAATGAATCACCTTATATAAGGTTCGAGATCCTTCCATTCCCATTTTGGTCTCTCTTTAAAGAGAATTGAGAAACGCTTTGCGGGAGTTGAGGGCAAAGAAGAAACACTAAAAGGATGAATCCAAATTTCCACCCCAATCCTCTCTGTTAAAACTTCACCTTCCAACATCTCAAAACTTGCCTGCATTCCATTAGGAATTTTATTCTTCCATTCCGCCAAAAACTTGTCCTTCTTCACTTTTCCATTATTCAGAATTCTTTTGGCAAAATGTACACAAACCTGTTTCTCATTTAATTTCCACAAAGATACACTGTCCTCCTTATCCACTGTATTTCCGTACACTTTCAAACAGTGGTTGGAAATTTTGGGTGGAAACCCATCTGACTCCATTATACTGACCAATTCATTTTCTGGTAGTGCATCTAAGGACCAATCATTTAACACTGCATTATGCAAAAGCATGTTCAAGACTGAGTCCATGCAATTCTCATCTATAATTCTCCAATACCCGTTGATCTCCAAAGCTTTAAGAGCTTCTAAGCCTGATCTCAGTTCGATATTACTTGCTTGAATCTGTCCAATGAGATCATTCCATCTATATACAGAACTCTGTTCCTCACTCTCCAAAAAAGTTTCCATTTCTGACATCTCCTCAATTGTAAAAGGCTTTTGTGACAGAAGCAATTTCAATTTGTCCAATCTGGGAGCAACCTCAACAAGCTCCAAGTTACCAGAAGCCACCTTCAGCACAGATGCCGAAGCAGGTTGGTCCAAGTTTTGTTCATCACAATCCATAGCATTTTTGGGAAAAGATGACGAGTTTGAAGGAGGGATGAGAAACACGGAATTGGAATTACCCACAAATTTAATCGCGTAAGTCTTTGATTGGGTACAAAACACAGCCTCTTCATCCGGTTCTCCCCTCAGAGAGACTCTAAATATATTAAATAAGCAACAGAGTAATTTATCAGAGAATATCATCAGCAGTCAGCACAAAGCAATGGAACTCAATCAATGGGAAGATTTCAAGGAAATCCTTACCTTTCGCTGAGAACATCAGGAAGAAGCTTTTCATCAAGCTCAAGGAGTAGTAGGTCTTCATGAGGACCAAAATCTGAATGGTAAGCGACAGATATTGAAGACTTTGGCTGAAGATCTAAAATTGCTTCTGCATCTCCACTTTTATCCATTACCAGAAGCACTTGATGTCTTCAGTTGTCCTCACCCTTCTTAAAGATTAATCTCTACAACTACACAGGAGTTGCATGCAACTTACAGCAGAAAGTTTGAATATGCAGTAACACTTTCTCCCCTACTTTCTCATTTGAGTAATTGTGTTGACAGACATCACAAATCGAATTGTTGTTATTATCTGCACTTTAATAGAACTCATTAGGCATTTTACAAAAATTACAACAGTGCAGTTCAACAAACATTTATTACACCCAATGGTCAGTCAATAAAACAAAACAAAAAGTTTCAAACTAATATTGAACAATCAGATCCATTATCAGTCTTTTCTTACACATGATTTCAGTATCTGATCAACAAAAGCTCTTACAACATTCTCTAAAAGGAGGCAGGACTACAGGAGGGACCGCAGGAGTTACTGAAATGGTAAGAGATTATACAATGAGCATAAAAGAACATGCAATGTCTAACGTCACTTTTCAATGTTCAAGGTTCAGATATTAGTATTGAAGACATTTCTATTGTTCTCCACATTTCATTTTGCATAATTCGAGGGTTGATATCATATACAATGTGCTGCTCAATGAATTTAAGGGGTTCAAATGTAGATAACATCTAACTTTTTGGAGCACCACAGCCAACTATTCTAAGCGTAACTAAACATTGACCTTCCCCCATTAGTCTTCCTCATATGTCCACTTTCATTATTAGACACATGCTACCTTTCATTCACACAAGCTCCTAATTCTCCTTTAGCTCAGGTACATCTATAATAACTAGATTACTAATCTAACAAATAAATACGAGCAATGTATTTTTGCTTTGTAGCCTTTCATTTTACCGGTCTACAAAATAGATGTGTCTCAAGTAAAACTAGGTGATACAATCTTGGCTTTTTGATTTTGAAGATCCTTTTCGAAGTGATACATGAAGCATTCAAGGACACACCACAAGCAATACCTCTTTATTAACTCATTTTCATTTTCCTTAATGATTGCTTTCAATCACAAATGCAAAAATATCATTTTATCCGGCACAGAAGCACTAATAGGCTAATGAACAAATCAAAAAGCTACAAAGACGGCATATGCAATCATTACATGCCAAGAAGCCTCATTGATTTTTCACAGTAGTAAATCTAGTAATGATAGAGCCGCTGCAATAAGTCAAGTTCACTGCTCAACGACCGGTAAAATACTAAGTGAAAATTAACGCGAATCCAATAAGTATAGCCTCTTTAATAAATCAAGTTCACCAGCAAAAATATGGAAATAAAACACCAATCAATCACTAATGCGAAACAATCACATTGCCAAATAAGTATGAAATTACACAGTAAAATCAAATAGCCAATAACAAATGCCACAATCTGAACCTCAAAACTAGTCGAATGAGATTACATAGGTAAGATTTTAACACATAGAATGACAAAATGAGATCCTAGAGCTAATTTATCAAATTATGAAACGAAATGAGCAAATATACACCAAGTACAAATACAAGCAATTCAATTAAACCCAAAATTAATTTTTTACATTTAGTCAATTTTCCCACCAAATAAGCAATTCAATTAAACCCAAAATTAATTTTTTACATTTAGTCAATTTTCCCACCAAATAGATACTGATAAAAGCACCCAAAAACTCAAAAATCGAAACAAAATAAAAACCCTAAAGATGATTGACAATACTAGTGATACCAATAAAAGCACCCAGAAATGAAAAATCGACGAAATAAAAATGAAAAAAAGAATCGAGAAAACCTAATTAGCTTACTATATACCTCTAATTATAGCTTATAGTGATGAATCAGATAGAAATAAATTAATTGAAAACCCTAAATCGACAAATGTTAGAAAAAATTGGAGCAAAGAGAAAAAAGGTATGACCTGTAAGTGTATAACAATGGTAGCAAATTCAGGTGACTGCGAAAGCGAAGAGAGAGTCGAGTGACGGTGGTTTTAGTGTATGTTGGCGGGAGTTTATTCAATTATAACCAAAAGAGCGGGTGAAAAGACTGAGAACCTCTTTTTAAACTATATGCATCATGCTTGAGTTCATGACTCCTATATTTTCATTCTTTTTTTTAGCAAAATCCTATAGTATTTTGATTTGTTTCATATATATCTTAAGACTAATTTATATGAAGTATAATATCATAAGAAAAAGAAATGAAAGAAAAGAAAAAGAAAAAAAAACCTTATTATATACTCCCTCTGTCCCAAAATAATTGATTTAGTCGAGTGAGGATTACTCATATAGCACTCATCAATAACATCGAGCAACAACGCAAAACATTAATAGTTTAACACTTTTTTCGTCATATACCCTTGACTTTCTTGTTTATTCACCATATACTATTGGACTTTTTCAAATACACCACATACTCCCCGAGTTTTATGAAAAATGCTCTAGATATCCTTACTGACTAACACCACCCCGGATTTCTTCCCTCACTCTTGAAACCAATTACCCTCCCTTCCCCTACCCACGAAACCACCCTAAATATGCTTTTCTCACCCGCAAAAGATTATACAGACATGATTGTAGAGATTCAAGGTGGTTTTAGGAATTAGAGATGGGAGGGGGTGGTTTTGATGGTGAGAGAAGCAATGATTCTAATGTAGTCTTATGACTTTTGACTACCACAATTTTTAAAAATAGATGGTTGAGATTTATTTTTTTAAGTAGTAATTTTATTAAAAATAATTTTAAATTATTTTAAATATATATTTATCTCCGAGAAATCATTTTTTAATATTTTTGAATTTCTAGAAAAATATATATATTTAAAATAATTAAAAAATAATTTTTATTAAAATTACTAATTAAAAATAAATCAAAAAATAAATAATCTCAACCGTCCATTTTAAAAAATTATGATACTCAAAAGTCATAAGAAAATCTGTAACATTACCCACTAAGGACCCGGGAGAACCAAAAGAAAACAAAGGTTTTTGAGCTCGTTGCCATTCAATTACAAGTAACCGGCATGCCCTTAAGCGGTATTTTTTTAGAGGCAACTAGGGAGAGTAGTAGTAGGGAGTTGCGTTGTTTAACACCGTTTTGAATTGTTCAGGTAATTTAAGTCAGCAAGTAATTTACAAACGAAGTGTTCTTTCAAGGTTGTGAGCGTGTGTGATTGGGGAGGGAGGTAGTCAATGATTGATGCAAAATGAAAAGATTGAAGGCATACATTATCAAAGAATACATCAAATTACCAAAATTTTAGATTTTAGATAGTTATCTAATATTACAACATGACAATTTTTTTTTTTCAGCAGCTAAAATTCAAACTTCAGCTTAACGGGAAAAAGAGCAATGCACGCTATGTCGCAGCCTTCAGCTCTTCTCCACACATTTGCATACCTCTCAATAAAATCAGCCAATTTTCTCTAGCTTTAAAGAGAAATATGGAAGTCTTATTGAGGTCTCAGGATCGTCCATAGGAATTTCTTTCAAACCTTCACAATAAAGACTATTCATTCCCACTATCGCATCTTGTAACACTGTGTCTTTGACACAGCACAATTTTTGCCATTGAATGAATACTCGAGCATAATATCAATGTCACGAGGATTCTTCTTGTTCTGGGAAACAGACATATTTCCGACAATAGACTCTCCTTCACATATTGTAATCTTTTCCTCAAGGTACAAAACTGTCTGCTTCCAGTGAGTATTTCGTGATCTTGGTCCTAAAAACATGGTTTTATTAAAATTAACACTAACCCAACATTCAAATATCATAGCGGTACAAACTTTAGATCAATGATTCTAAATTCAACAATGCAGTCTGAAAGAAAAATGTGTGCTTAAGCTCTGATAAAGCAAACTAACCTGTCGAAAAGCCCATTAATTTATGGCACCTTGTAAATGACACATCAAAATAAGCTACAAGAGCATGGATGTAGTCATTACGCTGAGCCACAAGTTTAAACGGAGCAGTGAAGGAAGCATCACCAGGTGTCATCTTAGATATGTCCATTGTCTGCAAAAATACATGCAGCAATTCAGTAAAGAAATATAGTTACGAGTCTCTCTATCTCAAGACCTAAGAAAATGCAGTTAATAAAAGTCAAAACTGCATTTCGGGGAGAAAAGAAAGTGAACAGACCTTGAGCAGATGGCTATTTGTGACAATTTGATTTTGGTCGACTGTATCAACTAGTGGCTCAAGCATAGCTTGCTTTCTTATACAGCTCATATCAAAACCATAAACATCATTCCAAACTGAAGGCATCATTTGTACAAGTTAGAATAAGAAATGCATAAACATAAAATAAAAACACGCATCAACTTATAGAGAAATTTCCAAGCAGAGCTATTTCAGCTACTATAGCACCAACTATAATTCAAGTAACCAATATGAACATGCCTGGGAAATAAAATAGCAAAGCAGAGCAGATGCTTACACTCAATCTTGTCCTCTTTGTACTCTGCATCCTCAATGGCTGTCAAATAGAGTGAGGCTTTGTCTGGGAAGACGATGCCATTGTCAACCTACAAACATGGAACATGCTGTGAATAATCCATAGAACAGCAAGAACTGAACAAAATATTCAGCTAGAGAATTCCAACAGTAAAGCAACATTCAAGTTAGTCTGATATCATACAACACCACCAAGGAAACCCTCATGGAAGGAGCTGAGAATTGATAATTTTTGAAATGAACATTGACCATGCATTGTGTCGAATGCCACGAGAATTAAAATGCTACACAAGTTTCTCATTGATATACCACATGAAAGGAAAGCATCAACTTAGACAATCTCAATAAAACATAGTTTGAACACAATTCAAAGATATTCATGGGCTTTCTCATCACAGAAATGGTTTGGTAGGAGAACAAGACTGGTGTGTGCTGAAAATTATATGGATGGAAATATCTATCCTCTTATAGATAGCAATTAAAAGATTCTAGATTTCAATTATTATAATGGCTTCAGATTTTAACCCATCTGCGCTCCTAAAATCATTTTCTGACTACATTTTTAAATCAGTGGCTTCAATTCCATTCATATTGCATGGTCATATTCTAATCCATAATGATCAGTAAAATCATGACATTTAAGCCAACTTTCCAAGACACTTAATTTAATATACAGAGTACTATTTAACCTGATAAATCTTATTACTTGTGGTACTATTTAGTGGCAACACTAAACAATAGTAGTGCTATTCAGAAAATACAAGTTCATTTCCAGGATAAACAAATGGTGTTTATCTAGGGGAAAAATTGTAATATCTTGGGGGCTTGCTCTAGTGCTATTCAACCAAACCCAAACCAAGCTTGGGAATAAAAGAAGAGAAAAATGCATAGTTCAATCCACTAAACTTCTGCACAATTACATGTTAAATAAAAGCAATCAAATGCAGACAAAAGGATCAGGGAAGTTTACAATAAATATAGAATCACCTACCAGCCACTTATCACGTGCATAGAGAACTGTATTCAACATGTTTTCATACAATAGAAAGTAGCCCATCCACTCTGACACGATAATATCCACTTTTACAGGAAGTTCAATTTCTTCAATTTTCCCTTTGAGAACAGTGATGACTGCAAAATTAAAACAAGTTAGCATGCATTATGTAAATATGTAGTATAAATAAAAGCAGGTGAAAATAACAAAACACAAGTGCTGCAGTAGTAACATCACCATTAGAGTATCCATTTGTTTCAACAATCTCCTTTGCCATGTCAGCCATGTCAGAGCACTCTACCTGAAATGGAGAGAAAAAATTCTAAGATTTTTGTTGAAAAAACTTGCATCTAATCAGCTAATAATCAAAATAGAAAGCACAATAAAGGCATTGGGTTTTACTGATTCGTCTTTGTAGCATATGTTTTTGTTCCAGTAAATTAGATAAGTAAAATGATAAACTGCAAGTTTTTTTTTTCAGCATTACCCTATACCTTGATCTATCTAATTAACTAATAAGCAGCCACTAGTAGTTTTTTAAACAAAGAGACAGAGATCAGAAGGATCAACATACTGCATAGACATGCTTAGCCCCAGCTTTGGCACAAAAAAGAGACAAGATACCAGTGCCGGCTCCCACGTCAAGAACCACTTTGTCTTTAATAAGAAAGTCATTTTTGTAAATAACATTTTGATATGTCTTGGTCCTCACCACATCCTTTAGCATTTCCTGTAAAGGAAAAAAAAAGTTATGTGAAAACATTCAAAACCCATTAGATAACATAGGCACATCAAAATATGTTCAAACAAGATAAAAGAAGCATGCAATGGTTCTTCTTCAAAATTTCAGCATATTGATGCAATTTCTGTATAAGCATTGGGATCCAACCAGATAGCATATACAACTATACAAGTATATTAAAATTATTTGAATGAATAAAAAATACTGCTGGTAAACAAGGACTTGGCATTGTAATGGATCGGACTTACTTCGTGAATTCCTGCACAGAAAACAAAAAAAAAACAGAGGAATATGTCAAGTAAAAAAGATAACGTTATATCATATAGAGATGAAGAGGATATATGAATGAATATATACAATGCAAGATTCTAAAATGCAGTAATAATTAATAAGTAAAACCAAGAGAACAGGATTTTTCAGCCTCATACGAGATACAACTCGAAGTTAGATATTTTAAAATTTTATGCTTTCACTTTTTTAATCTGGTCTTGTCAGAGGTATCTCAAACTAATGTCAAAATAATACCAAGAACAATAATATGCAGACCTTCTATATAAAAAGCTAATTATACATATTTGAACATAAAACATTAAAACAGTCACAATATAATGCATTTCAAATTTAATTTCCAGCTTAAACTATTTAGACCTAAGAAGAGAGCAAATATGGTGGAAAAATTAAATTTTCGACAGTATACTCGCTATTCGAATACTTTAAGTTTTACATCAATATGTCAATGGTTTCAGTTTTCATTTTAACATATCATATATTCAATACATTCCACTTCCCATCAAACAGATATGCAGAAACCCCATCAAAAATTAAACCCAAAAACAAACCCATCAAAACCCTAATTTGACAACACTCAAATCATAATTAATCAACACAAACGCACAAACAGCCAAAACCCACCAACAAAAAACAACAGAAAATTAAATTAAATTTATAACCAAGAACACAGAGAAAAAATAATGAACAAAAAATTTGAAATTCAATAATTAAAAAAGAAGAAAAGAAGAAAATTTATACCAAAGTGGGAGTAAGAATCAAAGTAATAATCAGCACTAGTCCTCTCATTGGGAAGATTAGAACTTGCTCCAGCTTCATCAATGGCTAATCCATCAACATTCATGCTATCTGGGTTTTCAAAATTGCCATTGTTGGTTGAAGTTGAATGTATTTTGAAGTTCTTGTTATGCCCCATTATAATTGTTTTTAGTGATTTGAAAAGGGTTTTAGGGGCTCTGAATAAAATTGCAGAATAATTAGGGTTTTGGGGTTGAAGTAGAGCTAAGCTGCTAAGTTTAAAGAGTCGAAAGTGGTTTATATAGTATGACATAAATATCTCTG